GGCACGACAAGAACTGTCGTCTGGCCGTCTCCATTGGAAGTGCCTGCAAGTGGAACTTTACAACAAAAACAACATTCAAGCTTTAATCCCAAAAGATTTTGGGATCAACTAACATGGATCGATTCATGATATCAGTGCCAGCAACAGAAGACAGACAAGAAGAAAAGAGTAAGATAAACCAGATAAGATAAAGATAAATAAATATAAGATAACGATAACACAATAAGAACCTAAGAAAGCGAGAAAATAAAAAAACATAAGAATATAAAAAGATAAAGAAGACAAAAGATAAAAGAAAAAGAGAGCAGAAAGATAAAAAAAAGGATCAATCATCCACACGAATCTGCGTTCTCCACTTTGCTCTCTCTAAAGCCATAGTTTCATCTAACCCAAGAAGACGCATATCGGTTCTGATTTCTCTAATACAAGTCTGTTTGGGTCTTCCCCTCCATCTCCTCTCTGCCTCTTTTCCCCATCCCTCAAGTCGTCTAATAGTTGCATCATTCGGTCTTGCACTCACATGTCCAAACCACCTCAAACGAGACTTCTGCATCTTATCTTCTATAGGTGCAAGTGGAATTTTAATATATTATTTTGTGAGTATTTATATTCTTCCTGAAATTTTGTGAGTATATTTTTCATGAAGTGAAAATTATTCAACCGGTAAATTAGTTTAATAAATTAATGAAAAGCACTACGCTTTTTATATACGATAGTATATTTTTGCACAGTGTTTTTCAATAACTTATTTAACTGACTTCCGATTGAATTATAAGTTGAATTTTGGTGAACTTAATCTACATTTCATGAGCAACATGCTCACAAAATGTCACTAAAAAATTCCATCAGAAAGCATCTCAAATGGAAGCAGCTAGATGGCGGTTCCTGTCAGGCTCGACTGGACTGATAGGAAGGTCCTCTCATTTTTAAATACATTGTCAAAGTGTAAGGAGTATCTTTTTAGACATAACGATTGAGGGTATACTTTGTAAACTGGCTTTATATAATCTTTAAGAGCTTAATCTTTTTATGTATGTATTTTTAATATGTACTTTAATTTGTTAAAGTTTACCTCAAATGGGGTATTTTTTCTAAATTTGGTCATTTAATTAACTTTGCTTGTTTCACTTAGCCCTTTATGGAATCACCAATGGAACTATTTTAAACGGAAAAGAGTAAAAAAACTACTCCCTAGTCCCTCCGTCCCCCTAATATTGGTACGGAAAGGAGTGATGTGGTTTTTAAGAAAACTAGAATTATATGGTTGATAATGAGTTGATAAAGTGGAAATAAAGTAAGAATGAATTAGAACCACACAAATGTTACTAAATATGGTATGGGACAATAATAAAGGGATATTCAAAAATGAAAAAATGGGACAATTATAGGGGGACAGAGGGAGTATTACTTATCACGTCGATGTGAAGAAGAGTGAGTGCTTTTATGTGAGTGTTTTATTTGTAGTTCTCTATAGTTACTTCTGTTATGTCTAAGGCTCTGATGTTATTGTTATTATTGTTACTGTTGTAAGCATTAACAGATTGTCTGTAATGTCTGAAAATATTAGATTACTGCTATAATGTAGTCTTAAAATATATGCACAACTTTAAGATATGAGGGTGTTTAAGAGATCATTATTAGATTATTCACTTATTCTCTAAAACATATTCTGTATATGATCTTTATGAGACTGGAATCTGCTAGTTCTAAGATTCTCTAAAGTAAACATTGTGTATATATAATCATACGGCAACTAAATCTGCATAGATTCTTTATGTATTCATGAATTACATAAAGAATCCATGAATACATGATTTATATATTCTTTATATATTCTGCTTACTCTATAAATTCTGCTTAGTATACGAATATGTTTCCTTGCTTCATTCAAATTAACTATTGGTCCAAATTTGGTAATTTGATACTCTAGTTTCTATTAGTCTTTGTTTAGAAATATTAGTAGAAAACTGAATTAAGTGAAAAAGAGTAAGAAACGATTAATCGGCACGTCAAAGTTAAGAACATAGAAAATTTGGGTTGGGCGCTTGGTGGTGGCTGCCTCGCTGATCGCTCGCAGGTCATTGGTTGGGCGTTGCCTCGTGGGTCATTGTGTGGTCGCGCCGGTCGCACTACTGAAAACATTATGTGTTTGATAACACTCATTTTTTTCCTGAAAATAATAGGAATCTTTTGCAAGTAACCTTTAACATTCTTTATTACATTAGTTGAGTTACGTATAGATTAAATTTAAAAGAGAACAAACATGTTACTTTCTCTGGTTGAAGTACGTTGGTCAGAAATAGTGCATTTTTAGATAAAAGTTATATTTGGATCTAAATACGATGTATGCATGGGTTGTGCATTTTTAAAAAAAATGACGTGCACTTGTGGTGGTCAGTCGATTCATTACATTATAGAGTTTTTGTTACTGTCTTCGGACTTTCAATTTTTCATTTTTAGTCTTTGACTATCGTGTGAGGTAGTGAAAGACACTTTTAAACATTCAACTTCCAAGTTTCTCACTTTAGTCCCTTCAGTATTATCAAATTGACACTTTTAGTCCCTCAACTATGATTTTGACACAATAAGTGGACTAAAAATTACTTCGTATAATAGTTGAAGGAATAAAAATGTCTCTTTATCAAAGTCGAAGGACTAAATATGATAATTTTCAAAGACGAGTATCAAAAGCATCCTTCGCACAATAACTTAATGAATACAAATAGGAAAAAATCAAAATCCAGTACAAAAAACGTGAGTGACAAAAACTCTTAGATTATATGTATGTGTATGTGTCTATGTGAGTGTATGTATGTATTCCATGTTACTTTGAATTTATCTGTTGCCACGTGCATGTGCAGATATGCTGCATTTATACATATCTTATTTTGTATATTTAAATTTATTTTATGTGAGATACTCAACTCTTTAATGTGTTCTATTAGTATAACGTCTACAATAAATAAATAGAAAAGGTAACCTAACCCTATAAGGATGACACCCCATCCTTGAGGGCCTCCCAACCCTGACCGGACGATACATTGGGAGAATATAAATTGAACTATAATCCCAATCTGACAGATGGAGAGTGGAGCTCTGTCTCTGATACTTGCAGAGATCTGAGATCGTATGTATTTTAGCATAGTAACTCTTACTTTTTTTTAGAAAAGGTAACCTAACAACGGTTACACTCACATGTCACGGTCAGACATCCATGATCCAACCGGATTCTACGGGTCAATTGTAACGTCCCCATAAAGAATGATGAAAAAAGAAAACAAAATGATTAACGGTTACATGAAACAAGCAACCAACACCCATAATGAGGAGTCAGCCGTTTCACTCTGCTGTGTCTAATAATAACCCATTCACACAATCTTCCATCAAGACCACATTTATATTTTTTCACTTTTGTGATTATTGGAAAACCCAATGTTTTTTTTTGACAATTATAATCAAATAATTACAAAAATGTTACATTGGAAATTATAACCATTGATTAACAAAATGTGGGGTGAAATTAAAATATTCTCATGTATGTATATGTCGTAACTAGGACACTCCTATATACGAAGTATATGGGTATGTATAGCTAGAATTAGGTTCAAGTGAGAAAATGATCTTAGGAAAGAAATGAGAATGAATCTCGACCGTTAGATTGTATTTTGTTAAATTTAATGTGCATTAAGTGAAACTGAAACGTGTATTAGGTGAAATTGAAATGCGCAGCACAAAAAGTCAGACAAAGTGAAACTGAAATGTGGCACTAGGTGAATCTGAAATGTGCAGAATAAAAACTATGATGTTGTGACATTTTTGTATCTTATATTCTGCACATCTTAATTTCACGTAATGCACATTTGAGTTTTATTTTTCATTCTGCACATTTCAACCTATAGCTATATGTATAAATAGAATTTTTAAGATTATATACATGCTATATAAGTTGGCTGCTGCCACGTGCATGTGCTGTGCAACATTTGTTCAATTTACGTGTTCTGAAGTCGTTCCATATTTCTGGTCAGACTTTATTTACTCAAGACTGGTCTCTTTAATTTTGATGCAACTTCTGCAATTAATACATGAATAAAATATAAACCGTAACGTCTAGACGGTTAAAATCCAAATAGCAATAAATAGTCACACTCCTCCTGATTTTAAGTTAAAACGTCAAACAGCAACTAGATACCGGTTTTTCTGCTTTTATGTCAGCCGTTTTGTGTACTCTCTTCAAAGTCCAGATTTCCTGCTTCAAAAAATCATTTTTTGTGTCAATCTCTTTCCTGTTATGTATGCACTAGAGACGTTCATGGTTAAAGACTAAAAATAATATTACAGTATGTGGGGTTCCTTGGGTTTATGTTTTTTCCTTTGGGTCTAAATCCCATCAAGTTTTCTTTATTCTTGTTTAGTTTGGCTCAAGACCATACTCCGGGTGTCTAGCTAATGTGTTAATAACGTTCAAATGGATTAGTTCCTGTAGAATCTCCGTCTCCAAGAATCAACCATCTAAAAGTCGTACTCCCTCCGTCCCCCTATAATTGTTCTATTTTTTTGGACGTCCCTCTCTTATCGTCCCATCCCATATTGGATAATATTTGAGGACTCTAATTCATTTTTACTTTATTCCTACTTTATCAACTCATTATCAATCACATAATTATATTTTTCCTAAAAACCACACCACTTTCTTTCGCACGGTCTAGACCATGTCTAGGAAGTGCAAGTGCACAGTGCCTAAACTCCTCAAAGGGCCCACATATTTTACTAGTATAGCACTATAGTAGATTAGTGGGTGCATTAATAATTGATTTTTATCCTACATTAGCTTGTCCAAAGCTAATGTTGACTTAACTGTCCTCTGTCAAACTCTTTAACAGACTTGGTTCAATGAACAAACTAGATAGTAATTGTAATCAGTATCAACTCGTTAAACTCACCCTCAGTGCCCCAACCCTTATAAATGCAACCGTCCATCCTGTTTCATCGACCAAGCTGCACTCAGCTGCCATATCCATCTCTAGTAGAATTGTAAAGAAAAACCTCGAAAAAAGAAAACCTTCCATGGCTTCCAAATCTGTATACAGCATGGAAGAGTTCCTGGAAGTTATATCCCTGAAAGAACAGCTCTACTTTCATGAGCTCCGACGCAAGCAGAGACAGTCGTCGGGCTCTCAGGTTGGCGGCACTCATAGAGCGCATAACCTGAGTGAGGCTCTTGAGGAACTACACATCAAAGAGCGGCTGTCAGCCCTTGAAAACAAGATGCGTGACCGAGAGTCTCCTTCTGTTCTCGAGTTGTTCGGTGAGCTTTGCTACACTCAACCTCCTCCGCCATCTCCTTCCTCCAATGATCCGTCCAGCTCTTCAGGTCCGGTGCCTCTTGCTGGCTCTGAAGAAGCTTCCACCATTGCTGCGGATGGAGAAGAGGAACCCTCTGATGAGATACAGGCCAATGGTGCTGGTCATCACGGAAATGGAAGTAATTATTCAACTAACCATACTGCTTTAATTTATCAGGAGTCTTATTTTAATGCTGTTTTCAATAAAGTTAAACAAATCTAAGTTTCTTTTTTTGCACTTTCTACTGATAGTACTAAGTTGGGTTTAACAGTTGCAGTTAAAATTAATTAAGGTAGATTATACGGTACCCATAAGGTAACATACCTTTGTCCACATGGACCAATGATAATGAAGCAGTTGAATTATTTAAATCTAAATTAAAAATGATAAAGTGGTGTGGTCCAATCAAATGAATGGTAGGTACGGTAACCCATTTTTAGAAAGGTACCGGAGTTGTCACCTAAAATTAAAAGTGGAGGTAGACGTTTTTATCATGCCTTTAGTTATCTTATATAGTAAAATAATATTAAATGAAATAGAAGTTTTTCCTATTCAATCATCAGATGTTGGTGAAGTTAATTTGTCCACGTAAAAAAGTCACAATCTGAAGAAAAAAACGTAATTGTAATGATCTTACCTAGCTCATCTTTCATTTTCATTTACCCCAGTGCCGCAAAGGCTCCCACCTACGGTGGGGTAAGGGGAGGTCGGATGTACGCAGTCTTACCTCTGTACTAAAGCATAGAGAGACTGTTTCCGGATGACTCATAGGGAAAATCGCGTCCAAAATTGCATGGACCGACTGCTTCTCCATAACAAAGAAGCGCATACAGTTTAGTTTATGTTTTTCTAATTCAGTTTTTGCTCATCCAATTCAGGTGATCTGATTTGTCATTGGTTTTCTTTGTTCAGGGAATGAGGGTAGGGTGTAGATCAGAAGGGGAGCTATGCCAGATGGGGAAAGAAAGCCGCATGACATCATCTAATGTGTAGATTCACTAAATTAAGATGTTTGAAGGCATTGACATATATCATGTGTAACTTAGTTTAAGCTTCTCTTTTATGTCAATCTGGATATCATTAATGAACTAAAGACCAAGGCATTTTCTCTGTTGAGAGATTTTTTCATTTTGATATCTTTTATTTTTTGCCATGAAAGAAGCCATGAAGGATTCTAAATTAACACATGAGTAAATAGAAAATGTAACGTCTAAATGTTCATAATCAGGGATGGATTTAAGGGAGGCGCAGCGGGTGACCGCTCCCCTTGGACTTTCAAAATTTTGTATTGTATATGTAATATTTTCGTAAAATTTTCATACTTTAATTAGATTCGCCCCCATTAACTTTTAGTTTTAAAAACTAATATATAGTTTACATAATTTAACACTTAATTAGAGATTTAAAAGAAGGAACATCTAAAATAATTTACATAACTTAAATAAATAAACAATAGAACAACTCATTGTTAAAGATTTAAGATACTTACTATATAAAAATTCTTAGTTTTATAATGTTTAATTATCTTTATTAGATAAACTAGTAAACAATGTTGTAAAATATATACTCCCTTCGTCCCATATTTAACTTCGGTTTTGACCGGGCACGAGTTTTAAGATAGTGGGATTTGTGTGGTGGAGAGTTATGCAGAGGAGAGAGAAATGTGTAAGAATGGTTGTGAACCACATATTGTTTACCAAAAAGGGAAAAAGAAGATAAATTTGGGACGGACCGAAAAGGAAAGAATGAAGATAATTCCGGGACGGAGGGAGTATCAAACAATATTAAATACCAGACAAATTAGTTACACAGTTTTTAGATCATGTGAAGCGAATCTAACTTATAAATGTTTATTGAATTAAATTACACAATTTATTTACTTCTTTCGTTTTAAAAAGACTTTATTGCATAGATAATAAACTTTAGTTATTTGAGCAAATATAATATCCACTATATATACAAGTAGAGATACTTATATGATATGCAAGAAAGCTGTAAATTTAACGCCTATGAGTTCTAATATCCACTATATATACAAGTAGACTTATTTAACGTCTCTTAATATCTAATATAATATCCACTATATAAAGTGTCGTATAAGTATCTCTACTCTAAGCTTACAAATACAAGTACATATACTTGTAATAAATATGTATTCAACGCCACAAATGAGACTTCAATTACGCACTACAACAATGCAAACACTCAGCTCCACCGCTCAAAAGGAAGTTCAACTGGCTTTTGAAAAATGGCTTTTGAAATTGGAGAAAGCTGGTTATTGAAAAATGGCTTTTGAAAACTACCTTTGATAATAACCATACTAAAGTAGCCAGTCTGAGCTATTATGGTTTGGAATTGAGTTAAAAAATGCTATGTAAAATTTTAATACTACGTATCTAAAAGGGAAATAGTTTAACTTCAACAATACAATTGCCCTCCTGGAGTTAGTTCTCGGATTGACTTTCTCTCTTGGGTGTCAGATCTTACAATAGACGAAGTCAGATTGCAGCGGAGAGCCGGAGATGATAGCTGCAAGTCGCGGCGGAGCCTTGGGCGGTGCTGGTTCAGCGCTTCAAGGACGAAAGAGAAAGGCAGAGAGCAGGTTCACCGTTCACGGGAAGGTGGAGCCTTGAGTGGTGCTGGTTGTCATATTTTTGTCGACGGAGAGGATATACACAATATGCATGTATATGTATAATGTGAACCTGTTTTGAGGTTTCCTTTCACTGCTATTGTTTATCAATCCACACCGATCATACTCTCTCCTCCCTTATAACTTTGTCAACTTTCCTTTTTTGAATGTTTCATTAACTTTGTTACTTTCTCTTTTAAGTAAAGAATTTGTGGTTTCAGTTAATTTTCTCTTGTCTGTACAAATTTAAACCACACAGTTTTTACTTTATTAATCCTCATGCCGTTACAACTTGTCAAAGTTATTAGGGAGGGAAGGAGTATCACGTAACATGTCTCCCATTGAGATTTTTTTGAAGGTAGATTCTATGGTACTCATAATGTACCATACCTTTGTCCACATTGACCAATGAGAGTGTTGCAGTTGAATTATTTAAATCTAAATTAAAAATAATATAATGATGTGGACCACTCAAATGAATGATAGGTACGATACCCCATTTTTTAAATGGGTACCGGAGTTGTCACCTTTTTCGAATCTTGCATGCCACGTATTCCCTCCACCATCGTTCCCACATTCGAGTCAATTCCAATCTGTCTAATCTTTCATTTTCACGCCTCTTTGAAACATTTCATAGTTGTTGCCTTTTCCCCCTTATCTGTTTCTCAACTAATTTAATCTAGATAGCATTCTTTGGTAACGCACTTTTTCTGATAATCTTTGGAATTCTTTTAAGTGAATATTATGTGATTTAATTACGCTAGTTGAGTCACTTTCAGGTTAAATAAAAAAAGAACGCAGTAGTCAACATCTTTCGGATTGAAGATGGTGCGAAATTAAGTGATCATCTTTCGGATAATGTTTCTTTTAAATCCTTGTGCTATTGAATCATTCAATTAAATTCTCTAACCATAAAAAACACTCAATTTTGATTTTTAGCAAGTTTGTTAAAATTTAAATATTTCACGAGAAAAGAGTCAAATAAGACTTTCTGCTATTATGAAATAGTCACATAAGCTCATATACTCAATAAAGTGTCATATAAGTACCTCTATTTGTATAAAGCAATCAAATGAGTCCTAACGTCTTATTTAACACTTCATAATCCCGATTTTAGCTTACATGTCGATTTTTTGACTTGTATTTCAGCCAATATTAGTTAAATATTCGACATATGCCGTATAATGTATTCTAAAAAGATGGTCAGAAGTACGTTGAAATCTGGATTAAGAGACGTTAAATAGGTCATTAGAACTCATTTGATTGTTTTTTACAAGTAAGGTACTTATATGACACTCTGTTGATTACATGGTCTTATTTGACTAATATTAGAAGCCTTATCCCCCTTTTTCACTATTTCACCCATCATAGCTGACTTTGGAATACACTTGGCATTTTTTTCTTTTTTGATTTTCTTTTACGATACACTTTGTATTGTATTGTACTAATATTGTATTGTATGTATTGTACTCGTATTATACTAAGTAATATATTATATTATATTATATTATATTATATTATATTATATTATATTATATTATATTATATTATATTATATTATATTATATTATATTATATTATATTATATTATATTATATTATATTATATTATATCATATTATATTATATCATATTATATGATATTATATCATATCATATTTATCATATTATATGATATCATATCATATTATATCATATTATATCATATTATATTATATTATATAATATTATATTATATTATATTATATTATATTTTTATTTTATGAAATGTCATTCCAAATTTGAGTCAGACTCTATTAGTGCAGACTTGAATGCATTTAATAGTAACGACTACAATGAATGAATAAATAATATTACCTCCGTCCCGAAAAGGTTTTGCCAATTTGACTTTTCTTGGTCAATTATGGCAAACTTTGAACAATGATTTTAGTTATTATATTTGTATATAATTTATAAATTTTATATTTTTATGAATTTTCAATAAAGAATATTTTGATATAATTTTCATATTCTAAATAATTTCGTATTAAAATATATCATTGGTCAAAGTTGATTGTCATTAACCAAGAAAAGTCAATTTATCAAACTTTTTCAAGAGGAGGAGGGAGTAATAATAAAAAGTAACGTGTCAACGGTTAGGCTTCCCACCAGCAACAACCCGCCCAAGGGTCAGCCGTTTTCAAGGGTCAAACGTAACGTCGGCGAGAAAAGAATGAGAGGAAAGGCATCTGAAAACAAAGCAACAGCAATGAGTGAGTCAGCTTTGTGAGTCTCATCATGACAGCCCGCGTTTTGCGGCGGGTAAATGAGTAAACGCCCCCGGGTTCGGGGTGCCTAAACCCTTAAAGTAATGAAAGTTTTGCTATGCTGACTCGGTTACACGCAAGCGATGAATGGCCAAGTGTCTGTCTAATTCTATACTTGCACCTATCACCCTTACCCGTAACATGGACTAAAACATCATCATTATTGCTCTAATATTACTACCTCCCTCACTTCTTAAATAAATGCATTAGGTTGACATTGTTTTATGGGTAAAAAAATTAAAATACTCCAAACTTTGAAAAAGTTTGTGATAAATATTTAAACTTTCATATGTAATTTAAATATTTCAGATTTTATATAAAACGTTATTCTAACACATGATCATGCATTCATGTATAATTTATTTCAAAAATGAAAATTTCTGATTTTAATTGCATAATTTAAAATAACAAATTGACAACGTTGCAATTATATAGTGTGTGGGGGTAATATTATTTCTTTCACAAAAGAAGTTTGGAATGATAATTTTATCTTCATGCTAAAATATTTCGATTATGAAATTAACACCAAAATTTGACATTTTTGAAAAAAATAATACATGATCATGATGCTGAAATAATTTTTTATATAAATTTTGGCGTATTTAAATTACATATACAAGTTTGTGGTGCTTACCTCACATCGTCATATACTATGTATTAAAAACAATGCATAGTAACAATATAATTGTTATCCATTACCCTATTATATTATATACCACTCTATCTACTTCTTAAAACATACTCAAATTAAATATTTAAATAATTAAATTATTTTCTAAAGGATCGTGTCATTCATTATTAGTAGGAATCTTAAATCGGGACGAGGATAGTACTCTGTATTCTGACAAAGATATGACTAATTATATGTTTTTGAAGAAAAATTAACTAATCACTCTGTCCGAGTAACTGGACAAAAGTCATAATAGTTTATTTAAGAGTGAGAAGTAACTCGTGAATGATGAGTCACTACTCACTGGTCACTGAATATATCACTTTTACGATTTTTTTTAAATAAATTATGTTTTTATCTTTTAAATTTAAGTTTGTAATATTGATTGAAAAGGTCATATCTTTTTACTCTTTGACAAGTGATAAATAATACTACGTGCTTGATCGTGTTGCAAGAACACATATTTTGAATCATTTTTTAATTCATTTATGTTGTTTTTATGACGAATG